ATTGTCTAGCTCAATATTGGAAACGTCTCCTCCATAGAAACTGGATCGTGGTGTGCTGACACAGCTAGAAATGACTGAATTCACTGTGGAAGACTGGTTAGATCCTGGGATATTCATTGGAGATGGAGTTAGGGACCTCTGCTTTACTATCTGATTGATGTTTCGTACAGTGTCAAACACTCTCTTGTGGTGGCTGATAAAAACACACATAGTTAGTATTCTTCCAAATAGTGTATAAACCACATTATAATAAATACTTAAACAAGCCTTCATCATTAATTCCATTACTTTCAATATATATCTGAAGGGCAGCATATTATGACAGCCTGGTTAAATTTTCTGCAATTATATTTTATCATAATTAATAATGCTTTTTGATGTCATACTGGCCACATCACAGTGGAAATGACTTTGGAGAGAGCTGGCTCATAGGCCTTGAAACAGATATGAGCACTGCCCCCTATAATCGGAAATGACTTAGTGGAAAATTTTTTGCAGGGACTCCATTAATAATAGTTTTATATTTTTTATTAAATAGAAAGAATAGGTATCTTACATCCTAACACTGAAGAAAGAATATATAATTCTTTATAATTAAATAATTATAAATTATTTAATTAAAAATTAAAAATTATTTATAATTAAAAATTATTTATATATATGGAAATGGGAAGGGGCATATTGCAGTATCTTCTTCATAAATGCTGCCCATTTTTAATATAATTGACATGTTTACTTGCCTAGGCAACTAGCCAACTTGACTAGTAATAGTTTTCACACTCAAATGTTAACACTCCCTTCTCTCCCAACAGAAAACAAGAACTGAATCAGAAGTTCCTATAACTGTGGGATGCCACACTTCTGCAAAACAAGTTTGATTAGAGCAGGGGTATCAAACTCAATGTCACTGTGGGTTGGATCAGAATAGTGGTTGTCCTCCGAGGGCTGGGGGGGAGGGGCATGGCTGTGATGGTTGTGACTGACTGGGGGTGGCCTGCTTGTTGTTGCTCATGCGGATGATGCCTGTGGAGGCCAGGTGGGGTTCAGAAGGGAATCCAGGGGTCTCCGGTGGGTGGGATCGTGGGCGGGAGGCTTATCCTGCAGGATGAGGTGAAGTGAAGCAGGGGGCAGGGCATCTACAGCCAGAAACCCATCAGCCACAATGCTTTCTCTGTCCTTTGTGTGCGGCGGGGGATGGTTTCCAGCTGCAGATACAACCTGCCTGCCCCTCAACTGGTGCTTGCTGCAGCTCTGGACCCCGCTGCCATCACCAGGCTGGCTGTCCAAGCAAATGGAGGCAGCAAGTAGAGGCATGGGGAGGAACATGATGCAGAACGCTGGATGCGCTTACTCTGTCCCACTGTCTTTTTTGGCTTGGGTTAGAGAGCAGGTCACTGCTGGTCATCTTTTCCTTGGCTCCCTTGTGGATCTTGACATTGGGCCTATACATGGAGCATGTTCCCCTCATGCACCTGACCTCAGTGGCCCACAGCAGTGCCGAGGTGCATTGGGTGCACAAGAGGGGTGCTTCACCAGCAGGCTTGGCAGGAAGCGGGGGAGGGAGTGGCACTTCCCACCCACTACCAGAATCAACAGGTGGCGCCCAGCTGAGCTTCTCCAAAGCGTGGCTGGTGGAGGGGTAGGAAACGGTGCCTGCCCCAAGGCTGGAGGAAGGCCTTTGATCCTTGGGCACCCTGTCAGACAATGCCCTGATGACTCTCCCACTTGGGTGGAGGGAAGCCCCGCTACCCCCAAGCCACCCACTCGCTTACCAGGTGCCATGGCCAAGCCGAGCCTTTCAGGAACACCGGATGAGCAGGGAATTTGGTTGCAATCCTCAGCTTGGAATGAAGATGTGGTATGTGTATGTGTGCAAGACAGAAGGCTGCCTTCAGGCTAGGGAAGGAACTGTAGTTTCGGAGGTACCATCTGAAGAAGTTGAGTCAGGCATTGCCCCCAAACTGTTCTGAAGCTGCTGCCTCTCAGGGGAAGGGAGGGCTCAGATCTCCCCACTGAGCAGCCCTGGTGAAGGAAGCGCATCATCGGGGATCTCTACCTCTGGCATCTCCTGGGTGGCAACTCTGCCGCTGTTCAGCCAGCCTGAAGAAGAAGCCACCATTAAGAAAGGCCAAGTAGAGGTGGTAAAGCATGCCCAGGCCCAGCAAGCAAAAGATGGCCACTGTGAATGGGGAAAGCCGGATCTCCACTGGCACCATGGCCATCCAGGCCCAGCAAGATGGGGAAGAGGCACACAATCCGGATGGGCTTGGGCAGCCATGGCGCCAATGGAGATCCAGCTTTCCTTGCTCGCGGTGGCTGCCTTTTGGCTGCTGGAATTGGGTGTGCTTTACCACCTCTACTTGGCCTTTCTAGCTGGCCCCTTCACTTTCTTCAGGCTGAGCAGACCTGGTGCTCTGGGCAGCGACGGCAATGGCCTAATAGATCTGTATGAACTGCTGGCAACCTTGCTGGTATCGTGGTGCATTGGGTGTGCGAAGGGGCCAAGGAGATGATAGCAGAGACCTGTTCTCCAAACAGAAGCAAAACAGACAGGACGGAGTAGGTAAGCAGATGGTAGCTGGCAGCAGCCGCCCATACCCTGCCCATGGTGGTGGCAATAGCTGGAGGCAGAAATGCAGTGCACACACATCTAAAAATAAGTGTGGTCATCCTGGAAACAGTAAGGGGCCAGCCTGCATCGCTTTGGTCCTGCCCATCCCATTCAGGCGGGCACGCATTTGCACAAGAGATGGTTGGTGCATGCATGGCTTTGGCCTGGCCAATGCTATCCTGGCAGGCACACGTGCATACAGGTGGCAGGCACACGTATGCACAGACCTGCCCAACCCATTCTGGAATCTGTACATGTGCCCACTCCTAAGTGCAAGTGTGCTTGCCAAGATGGCGTTGGTTGGGCCTATGCACATATGCGCCTGCCATCTCCTGCACATATGTTTGTGTGTCAGGATAGGATGGGCCAGGCTGAAGCAATACAAGCCAGCCCCTTACCGTTTCCAGGATGGCCGCTTGGTCCAGATCCAGCCATGGGCCTCGAGTTTGACACCACTGGGTTAGAGGAACAAAATAAAATATAGCATTAATATATTTCCCTCTGCAGAAATAGTGTGTCATCTGAATAGCTGTCCTAAAACAAAGTATTACAAGCTCAGTAAAAAAGTGTATACTAAAAATATTAAAATGACTGACAATATAATTCTCATTGGCTTTGGACAACATTAAGAGGACTGATTTGTGAGAATTTAAGTTACAACTATCTCTTAAAAGTCATTTAACAATAGTTAAAGGATAAGGATCAGGCAATTTATGTATGCTATATGAGATCCTTCATAAGTATTATGTTAGAATATAGATTAATATGATTGGACAAAAATCTAATCATCATGGTAAACTGCCACACAGATTAACTGAAATATTTACACCTGTCCCCCATATTCTGGCTGCCCGCTGTCATATTTTAATGTTGAATTGATTTCTTTCATGTATATGCTGCCTTTCTTCCAGAGATTGCAAATAATATAGAAAGAATTGCAGGTGGTTCCAATTTCAGACAAGACTCAAACTTAAACCCACACTTGTTTAACTTCAGCTAAATTGACCGAATCTCAAAAAACACATTACTGCAAATTTGTTCAGGTAAGCTCAAGCTATGGAACACATCCTATTTTACCGCATCCAGCAAAGCACCAAGTTAAAATGGCATAGATAGGTATTTGATGATTCCAGGTGTTTTAGATCACAAATCTCAGTAGGCCTATTGTCAGTAAACTATGAGTCTAGAATTTCTGAAGGACATTTGCCTACCAACATCTGCCATGCAAAACATCTGGTGGGATGGAAGGAGAATATTTTTCTTTCACTGCAGAAAGTAGAGAAATCTCCCTATTATTTTAATGATATTTTCCTGATGCATTTCAAAATTTCAAAAAGCTATTAAGTGTCTACATGCAATAATTGTAAAAACCTTCCAATGTTCCCAACATTTTCTAACATTTAATAATTTAAATAAAGAATTGATATTCTTAAAATATCATTAAAGTGGATTGTCTAAATATTTTTACACGTACATAAAAGTTACAGATTATTAGTGTTAAATACAACTTTTCGACAAAGTATTACAATATATTGGTCATACTTTGAATCTGAACAGTCAGTATCATCCAGATGCAACTCTTTTCGCATTGATCCTTCAATTTCTGCAGCTAAGGAATCCTGTTGAGACAATTTTAAATGGTGTGAGAGCACATCTCTCTCTCCCCCTCCCTCCCTTTCTGCAATGTACAAGAAGGTGGGGTAGAAGGAATCAATTTACAGTTTTTGAAAAATCCTGTCATTATTTAGAAATATTTCTAGATGCTACTACAATATCTGCACCAAAAACACACACTAGACGTAAATGAATCTAGATGTTTTCAATATTAAAATTTATAGACATTCTTGGAAAAAAGTATTATGATAGAGATCTCTAACACCTATGCAGCTTTATCTTAATTCATATCTTCTTTTTGAAAAAAAAGTATTGTCTAAAGTAATGGTAATAATTGGCCCTAGAAAAATAATTTTTTGAAAAGGAAAGTAAGTAAATTATAACAGCAAACAAAGTATCATAAAAAAGTTAATCAATGAGTCACTAGTCAAACTCTGCAATATTATTAGAAAAACCTCAAACAATTACATCAGCAGAAAAATCTTTTATGCTTGAAATAACTATTTTCTTTACAATAGCTTCTGGTCATTAGGTAACTGAAATGGAATAGTTAGCTGTATTGTATTATTATTATTATTATGGTTCATTGCATAGTCAGCCATTTTTATTTACCAAGTCCTTCCCAAAAACCTGTAATAAGTAGATGTTGTTTGATGATGTTAAAGGTATCATCGTAGGGTGTAAGCTATTCTTAGTAAAGTTGTCCTTTGCAATTACTGTTTTGAATGTCAATGTTGATGTTGTTCAATTTGTGCTCCAATTGTTTTGATATTTATCTTGCCTTATTTATTTATTTATTTATTTATTTATTTATTTATTTGATATTGCCACCTATTCGCCCGTGGCGACTTGAGGTGGCTTACACAATGTAAAACCATATTTAAAACAAAAATAAAAAATAAATAAAAAATAAAAACTAACAAAAATAATCAAATAATTTAGTAAAGTACAATAGAACAAAATTTGGGAAAACAAAAGACAAAAAAAACCAACAACCCCAAAACAAAAACCAACTCCCACCTTCCCGCTCCGACGAAAGATCATACTAGCCATTTGATGGGCTCCATCCCTCTCTAAGTTCGCCAGGCCTGCTGGTAAAACCAGGTCTTCAGTGCCTTTAGGAAGAGTGCTGGAGTGGGGGCCATTCTAATCTCTGGGGGAATGATATTCCAGAGAGAAGGAGCCACCTTGGAGAAGGCCCTTCTTCTAGGTCCCATCAGGTGTATCTCCCTCTGGGGTGGGACCCATAACATTCCCTGCCTCCTCGCTTTAATGGGCCGGGTAGATGTGACTGGCAAGAGATGTTTCCTCAGATAACCTGGACCCAAGCCATGAAGGTGACAACCAGCACCTTGAATTGCATCCAGAAGCAAATCGGCAACCAATGCAGCTCCTGCAGGAGAGGTGAAACATGTGCACACCGGGGTCTGCACAAAACCATGAGGGCCACTGCATTTTGCACCACCTGGACCTTCCAGATGCTCTTCAAGGGCAGCCCCATGTAGAGTGCGTTAAAATAATCAAGACAGAAAGTGACCAGGGCATGAGTCACTGTGAGTAGGGACCGCCGATCCAGGAAAGGCCATAACTGGTGCACAACCCGCAGTGCACAAAGGCCCTCCTGGTCACGACCACCAGCTACTCTTTGAACAGGAGTCATGAGACCAGGAAAACTCCTAGATTATGCACAAGGTCTGTTTGGGGTAGTGCCATCCCATCCAAGACTAAAGGTGGTGGTTATTCTCCCTGAGCCAACAAACCCAAACCCAGAGCCACTCGGTCTTGCAAGGGTTTAGTTTCAACCCGTTTCTCCACATCCAGCCCCTAACAGCCTCCAGGCATTGTGAGAGGGAGGACACAGCAATACTTAACTCACCATGGGCCGAGACATACAACTGAGTATCATCAGCATCTTGGTGATACTTCAGTCCATGGTGATGGATGATCTCACCCAGAGGCTTCATATAAATGCTGAACAGGAGCGGAGAGTGCCAAGCCCTGTGGAATCCCGTAAAGCAGTGGGCGAGGGTTGGATCTCTCCCATCCTATCAACACTGACTGAGAGTGGCTGCAGAGGAAGAAAGGGAACCCAGACAGCACAAGGCCTCCCGCTCCCATCCCCCGAAGCCACCCTAGGAGAATCCCATGGTCAATGGTATCGAAAGCCGTTGAGAGGTCAAGTAGAGCAAGGATGGATGCACTACCCCCACATCCTGCCCCTGCCAGAGATAATCCAAAAGTGTGACCAATGCTGTTTCTGTCCCAAATCCAGGCCTGAATCCTGACTGGTAGGGGTCGAGATAATCTGTTTCATCTAGAAACCTCTGGAGCTGCTGCTGCTGCACAACCTTCTCAACAACCTTCCCCAAAAAGGGAAGATTGGAGACAGGTTGGAAATTATCCAACCGGGTGGAGTCCAGCAATGATTTCTTATGAGGGGGGTGGACCACAGCCTCCTTAAAGTGCTGGGGCACCGTCCTGTAGAGAAGCATTAATTAGCACCAGAGTCCACCTATCTGTCATCTCCTAGGAAGCTTTCACAAGCCAGGAGGGACATGGGTCTAAAATACAGGTGCTTGCGCGCATACTCCATAGGATCCTGTCCACTTTCTCAGGAGCAACAGGGTCAAACTGTTCCCAGATAACAGGGCAAGAACCTGCCTCAGGAGCTTCCACCGTATCAGCAACCACACTGGCATATAACCGGGAACGAAGTCAAGCAATTTTGTCTTCCAGAAAATCTGCAAATTCTTCAGTGCGCCCCTTCAGGTGGACCTCAATCTCTTCCTTCTCTAAGAGGAGACAGCTCACCTTAAAGAGAGTCGCTGGGCGATTATCTGCAGATGCGATTAGTGTGGACAAATATTTACACTTCACTTCATGAATCGCCACAAGGTAGGGCTTAGTGGCAGCTCTTACCCGTGTTCGATCAAGTTCATCTCCTATCTTCTGCCAGTGGTGCTCTAGATGTCTCCTCATGCGCTTCATCCCTCTCAGTTCCTCTGTATACCACGGGGACCAGAGAGGTCTACGGGTTAGGAGAAGTCGCAAGAGTGCAACTCTATCTCTTTCCTATTCCAAACAGTGACTAAGAGCTCAGCTAGACCACATAAGAGATCTGCAGTTACAATCCCCAGCTCCTTCTGGATCCCATCTGGGTCCATTAGTCAATGCGGGTGGACCAATCTAATAGATCCTGCCTCCCTGTGTGGGGAATGCAGCTTTTGAGAAACTCATTGCCACCAGACTATGATCTGACCATGACAAGGGGACCAAGGACAAGTCTACCAATTCCAGCTCTGACAAAAACACCAAATTGGGAGTGTGACCACTATTACTAGTTGGGCTCTGGATAATCTGGAACAGGCCCATGGAAGTCTTGGTTTCTATGAAATCTCTGACCCAACCCCAGAGAAGGCAGGTTGAAATTCCCTAGAACTATAAGTCTGGGTAATTCCCCCGCCAGCCCTGAGGTGAGGTCCAGGAACCCAAGTAGGAAAGCTGCCACACAGCAGGAAGGTTGGTATAGCAGCAGCAATCCCACCTAATCCCTTGAGCCCAATCTAAGAAAAAGAGACTCACAGCCAGGGACTTGCTGAACAGTGCCTCTGGAGGCTACTAGAGATTCTCTGATAACAACAGCCATACCTCCTCCCCGATCCTGAGGTCTAGACTGGTGCCATGCTCAATAACCCACTGGGCACATTTCTACAAGAGAAACGTCTCCCTCTGGGCCCAGCCAGGGCTCAGTTATGCAAACGAGATCAGCCTTCTCTTCGAGGATCAAATTGGTAATAAGGCTAGCCTTATTGCAAGATGATCTCACATTTAAAAGCAGCAGTCTAAGACCAGGGCCACCACAGATCTGTTGACCAGGAAAATGAGATAAGTGCAATGGGGCAGAATACGAGATCGGTACTCAACACCGAGGTTGCATTTCCTGTGCTTGACCTCTCCCTTGTCTCCCATATCTCCTGTTACCCGATACTTGTTCTACTTCTATTTGCAGATCTGTGTTTGTGATTTTCTCCAGTTGTCTTCTATTCTGCTATCTCCAGATATTGCCGCATCCAGTATCCAGACTTTTCCACAGTTGTTAACTATGGGGTATTTTTCGGCTGGTGCTTGTTTGTTTGAATTCTAAAATCCTAGAGCACTTTAGCTTCTTCATTTTCTAAAAATACTTTGTCTTTTTTGTAGAAACCTAAATCCTTTCTTGTATGCAAATGGTATTCAAGTGTATCATTGTTGCTACTTTGTCATGGCACTACTTGTAATCAGTCTGCAATCTTCTTGCAGCAACTAACTAGGTCAGGGGTGTCAAACCCAATCGCATTGCAGACCATAACATGACATACCAGGATGGTTTTTTGCCTTCATGGAGCTGAGGTGGGCATGGCCTGTGCAGGCTATATCCAGCTCCTGGGCTCCCAGTTTGACAGGCCTGAATTAGGTGGTTCACTATTTTTTCAGCTTCTTTGAAGAAGCAGTGTTTACTGTCTGCTACTATCAATTCTGGATTTATATGTATTTGTTCTTAAGGTTGGTCTTGGGCATCCAGAATTAGCCCATCTGTCTCTTTCCTCAATTTTCCTATTCTTACTCCAGGTCTTATCTTATTTGCTTTTTTTTTTTTTTTAAATGTACAACCTATGTAATACTTTGCCTTATTGTGTCTCTTTTATATTCTACATTTGAGCTTTCTCACAGGATAGTTCGATCAATAAGGTTTATGGTATACCAGCTTTGGTGTATCTTATTCTGTAGCCTCAAGTTATTCTTTTAGTGCCTTTTTTTTCTTATTCAACTGCCTGCTGTATTTCCATGCACAGCTTTTTTCTTTTGTTAAGTAGAATATGTTAATATTGATATTTGGATGAAGAACAAGATTCATTGTTTTTCTAGTTTTCTTATTCAGGGCTTTTAGTTTTGCTTAAATGCAGTCCATTATTCAAACTGTGTATTTAATAACTGGAATTGTTCAGGTATTAACCACCTTGATGGC